TCTGCGACTAAATAAAAATTTAATTTTCACAATGGCATTCTAAAAGACGCTAGAAGCTAGTCGGGCGCCAGGCAAGCGCCTAGGCGGGTGCCTAGACAGGGACTAGTCGGAGACATAAAGATTGTAGTTTTATCAATATTTTTGCATAAATATGACTAGTTATGTTGTGTTTGTGTGTGTATAATATACACACACACACACATACACAATAACATGCATGAATGATAGAGTTGTCATATTTAATAATATATTATACCTACTCACTAGTAGTTTTCTTCATATGCATTGTTAAAGTTAAATGTACACATATCTCTTCATTTCATCATCATTTTCATTTACCCCAGTGCCGCAAAGGCTCCCACCTACGGTGGGGTAAGGGGGGTCGTATGTACGCAGTCTTACCACTGTACTAAAGCACAAAGAGACTGTTTTCGGATGACTCATAGTGAAAATCGCGTCCAAAATTGCATGGACTGACTGATGCTTCATAACAAAGAAGCGCAGACAATTTAGTGAGTCATTTTGCTTAGGATACTACAATAGAAAAGCAAAATAAAATGTTCAACGAATCTAAACGTCTAGGCGGCCGATTAAGCACTTTGGGCGGGCAACCAGGCGTCCTCGGCGGTCGACTAATTCGTCTAGGCGCCAAGTCAATTAGTCGGAGCACCTAGACTAAAATCGGGCCGCCCAACCACTGCCTAGCGCCTAGGCGGGAACTAGTCAGGCGCCTAGAGCGATTTTTAGAATAGTGGTTAAAACAAGACAAAATATGTGTACTTGGAGCTGATTGAGAAGGCAATTAAGGTGGTAGGTGGTGAACCGAAGCTGCAATTTTCATGAGATTAAAATAGACATTTACCTAAACTCAAGGACAATGATGAGGAAGAAAGTCCAGATACACGTGGAATTCCCGCTTCTAATTGAGGCCAATATATGTCACGTACTTTTCACGAACACCTAATTTTTGTTGTTAGAGTGGTTTCTTTTGTTTAAGTTTGATTGATACAACGGGTATTTGATAATTGATATTATGTGAGTTTTAATTTTAATTTCATTGACATATTTTACAGTAATTCAATAACGTAATTCATTTGTAGCTACCAGAAAATGAAGAAATAATTAGATGACTAAAGTGAAGATTGATTACAAAAGTATGATTAGTGACTAGAGTAGTAACGAAATTATAGTAATATATGTTCAATACTAATTTCATGAAGTTTTTTCTTTGAAAAATTTATAGTGAATTTCATTTACAGCAATAAATTTCATTTACAGTTACGAAAACAAAATGATTTTCATCTATACTACGAGTGAATTTTATGTGCCCTATTGAAATATCTTACAATCAATCTTATCATTTTCTAAGTAAAATTTACTTCTAAAGTCTAAATAACTTATAATTTTGGTGAAAAAAATTATAATTACTAACACAATAACTTGTCATGCACTGTTTCTAATATAAGAATTCGTTTAATAGTTTACACGTTAAGTCTTGGCACGTGAAATGAGGGAATCACCCTACATAATTGCACTACTTTTTTCCATTCCATTCTCCCGCTCAAACACATTATCATCCGGATCGTCCATCTTCCTTAATCACTCAGCCGTAGATTTTTGTTCACAATTTCATGTCTCGGCATCTCGCCCCTTCCATCTTTTCCGTCTTTTGCCTTCTCCAATCTGCATCTTCCCAATTCTTCCGCCTTTATCCGATCAATTCCGGTGCCGCCCCTACTGAATCTCCCTCTTTTTGGCGTACACTTCCGATCTAAACAACAAACATCGCTTTCCATTTTGCCTCTTCTTCTCAATTTAACGAATCATAGAAAGAATTTTGTCCATTTCTTCCTCAGTTGTTCGTCGTAAATTATGCACAACATAAATCCATATCTTCCTGATAAACTTCCCATCTTCCATCGTTTTCATCTCCATCATATTTGTCCATTTTATTAGCCTCCTTCACCATATCAATTTGAGATTTAAAACATTGCTCAGTGTGTCTTTGAGGTACCTCAGCTACGATATTCTTTTTTGGGTGCTTTGATCATTTCAATTTGATGTATCACATCTATTGTTGTTTGTATTTTACTAAATCTTTTCATTGGATTGACCTGCATTCATTTCAATTTCTTCATATTTCAAAATGCAGCGGAAAATATTGACATTATTTGAGTTAAATAATGGAATATGTAGCATTATCCTATACATGTACTTACAAACAAGTAAGTTCTGCCATTTTGGAATGAGAGAGTAATGTTATTATTTGGGAAATGAATTGGGTTTTTTTGCCTAAAATATGAATGAGACCTTAATGTTGTATGTAAAATAATATGGAAAGTGCATCTGAAACTCTTTTCTTAATACTTTTCATGAGAAACAACAAAAACAAACATAAGAAAACAACCTAGCTAAGACGCATGGTAAATGTTTACTTCTTTAAAAAAGAAGACTAAACTAGGTGTAATCTTCAGAAATTTTGAAATAAATAATTTCAACAAACTCCAATTTGAACATCAATCTATTATCGCGTACTAGGTACGCGATAGTATATATACTACTGCATACATGCAAATACTCCAATTTGAGTTTTAGAAGCCATATTTAAACCTTTTGTGAATCAATATTCAACAAACTCTAAAGTGATGGTAGTGACGAGTTCGGGTTTATGAAGACACATTCTAAAGTGTACACCACTGAGGATGTACAAATTTCATCATTTGATGTTCTAATTGTGATCACATTAAATGTTCAGAGATATGATTTTCTAAGATTTTAGAAAGCAATCAGATACAAACCTTAATGGTTCGGTGAAGATCATAAAATTTTGAGATAATATCATGTTGTTTAGCAAGTGACAACAAGGAAGCAGAGATGTTGGGACTTGGGGTACGTGAAGCATTGGCTTGGTTGGAGTCCTGTGATTGGAGTAATATGGAGGTAGAGTTCAACGTGGTTCACGTAATCTATGAGAGATCCAAGATGGGAAGGACTCTTTGGGTTTTGGTTTAGTTGCGGATGATATTAGATTTATGATTGCTAATTTGAATAGTGTCAAGTTTTCTCATGTCATTCTTTGGGTAGAGTAGCCGTTTCTTTGTCTGATTGTCAATTTTGGTTTTATTTTTCTCCTACTTTTAATTGGATAAATGGAATAACACTAATAATAAAATAAATTGTTGGTCTATCAATGATTTATATAAAAAAATGAATAGCTCACCATAGCTTTTTTATGTACAAAAATGAACATTCAAAAAATCCTCCGAATTTGAAAGTATTAATACTCTTGATATAAATTGATAAAAAAGTGTTGTTTAGACGGAGGTTTATAATAATTCGTAACATTTGTTTATGTTCTTAAAAAAATTAATGCTTACTAAATGCATCCCGTGCAACGCACGGGTAAAAAATCTAGTATAATGTAATGTTTAGGAAAACAATAACTTTGCATGTGTAATAAATTACATTGTTAAACTATGTATGTAATTTATTTTGAGTTAAATGCAATGGCTTACGGTGCTTTATAATTAAAGACACGCAAAATATTTTATCACTCCTCACATAAAATATTTATATGGTAACAATGCGAAATAATCAAGTCAAACAATGTCTTAGAGCTAATACGGTACTTTTTCGAAGGATTTATCTACTCATTGGAATGGTCCTAATAAATCAATTTATGTGATTCTTATATTTAGGAATCATTTGCCTGGATTTTTTAAAAAAACTTGTAACTATATTATAGAACCGTGGGATTAGACACCATACCCATGAAAAAAATTTGCAGTTGGTTAGTTTGTTTTCATAACACTACTTAGAAGTTGTTCTCTTCGTCTTATTTTTATTACTTATTGCTTATTATTATTTTATTCAGATCAGATCAGGAGCATTCAGATCAGATAAAAAAGATTCAGATCAGACCAAAACAGAAACATCCCGACCAGATCAAAAACATTCAGATCAGATCAGAAAAATTCAAAAATGATTTATCACTTTTATCATTATATTAATAATAATAATAGTTATTATTATTATATTATAATTTATACTAATAATACGAATAATAATATTTTTTCCAAATAATAATAATAATACTATATAAACAATAATAATAATAATTTTAATATAATTATTATATTATTTTTTTGAAATAACTATTATTATTATTATCATTATTATTATATTATTGTATTATCTTATTATTTTTTGTTATATTACTTTTAGTATATTATAATAATAATTATTATTATAATTATAATAATTACAATTATATTTATAAATATAACTACAATTATAATTATATTTATAATTGTTAATATAATTATTGTTAATATTATCATTATTGTTTTGTAATTATTATTAACATAATAATAATTAGGAGAGCAAAAAAGAACAATTTTGGACCCTCCATTCTATCAATCGTGAGGCCTCCCATGACAGATTTTGGAGTAAAAAACGTGCATGATAGTGCACGTGCTCACTTCAAAATTGGTAAGAGTCATTGAAACAATAAATAAAGGACATCTGGGTAAAATACTTCAAAACGGTTAGGATGCACCAATACTTCTAATTTTAATTTTCTTACCAAAACAAGATTTATCTCACACATTATTATGGTAACTAACTTTTACGGATTATGATTTTAAGAACTCTATTAAAAATGTGCATTATTTTTTATATTAAATAGTTTTTTCAAATGTACGATTCCATTGGTGAATTTAACCTAAGTTTGTTCGTTTGCACTTTAACGTTGAATACCTACACTTTTACACTAAACATTATGCAAAATCAGTTTAATTAGATATTTAGATATTTTTGCACTATTAGTAGTTTGAATAGCTGACTTCATTCATCAATGTAATGAATCTAAACAGATGTAACATCTTAATTAAGATAATTTGCATGATTGTAATGTGCAGGTTTATATGTCATTTTCTTGCACTTTGTATATCCTAAACCTACACTTTACTCATATAGTTGTGCACTTCTATACAGGTTTTAAATAAATACAATTTTAAGTAAAAAAAGAACATAAATATACAATGGTGTAAACTAACAACAATGGATGTTTTTACTTGGACTGTAATTCATCCCAGACCAGATCAAACCAAACTAGACTTGAATAATTATAAAAATACAAAGAAACCAGACCAGCAAATTACTGTCCAAGTAAAAACATCTTATATTGTGCATTTCGAATGTATACAAAGGTGCACCATTATATAACACATCGAGAAGTTCTACATACATCATTTTTACAATATGAAATGCACTTTTACCATTTGAGTACGAAATAAGCACAAAAGTGCACTATTATATCACACTTTCTATAATTTTACGTTGATATCTTTATAAAATCAAATGCATTTTTTCTTCCAAATAGATCAGATCATAATTGCTCCCACTAACACTGCATCACATCTAAAAAAAATTTAAAACTAATGAAACTGCATGACCAAAGCATGGTAAGTGCACCAAAAGCTTAATACAAAACAATCTTTTTTATTATCTGAAAATTAAATATATAACTAATCAACTATCATGAAAGTGTTCCATACAAAATACTAAAATGCATCACATGACAATTTATGTGCATTAACTCTTAGTGAAATCTACGAACTTAAATTTAAAATTAGTTCTTTAAATAAACAGAAATTAATTTAGTGCAACTACAAAAACCAACAATCATATGAAACTGTCCATTTTCTAAATTGCACAAACTATAGGGATATGTACTCCGTATATTACACCAACTACAATCACCAACACGAAGAGGTGTACGTAAATGAAATTGAAAAATAAGAAATAAAAGAAATGTGGAAAAACAATAAAGGAAGGAGTCAGTTACCTAGATGGAAAGGTTGTTTTCAGTCCACGTTTAAAATAATAGAAACGTAAATGACATGAATAGCCTCCAAGCATTTTAGTAGCACAGAATACTTAAGAAACGATCTAATGGTCCTCATTAATTCTTTTTTCCTCTCCTAAGATTAAGTTCTCACATGAACCTATATTATAACATTAGTTTTCGGGACATACGGTCACTAACATTTATACTTGGTAATATATTATATATAATACTACGGAGTATATTATTATATTATAACACTAGTTTTCGGGAAAATTCGGGACGGTACGAGACGGTTCGGTTTTTCGGGACGGTTCTCACTAAGAACCAGTACCGTACCATATTATTAAAAAAGCTCGGTACGGTACGGTACGGTATTACATTTTTCCGGTTCTTTCGGTTCTGGAACGGTACGGGGCGGTTCTTCGGTACGGAACGTGAATTCCCAGATCCGCGATCAGCCCTAGTATTAATAGTACATGTATTTGCAATTATACATTAATGATAAATACATTGAAGATGTTTATCACAAGTATTAAAATAGAATTAAATCATTAAGTACACAGTTTTTATAGAACAAAACGTCTTGTACCTATAATGATAGAGAAATAGATTGTTAGAAAACGATAGAAAAATCAAAGGCAACAATTTAATGTCAAAAAAGATTTCCATACAATTCTTCTAGTCAGAAGCATCTATATTTCTGTGTCAAAGAGACGGATTGTCATATTTGAAACCATTCTTCGAGCAAAAGGGATATAACTTAAACTGTACCTGAATGAGCCAAAAAGAGTAACTTTACATTATTGCTCGTTGATGCCTGAACAGTTGACATATACAGCTTTAGGTATCCTCAATAAGGTTTAAGAAAAAAAAAAGGATGACACCCCATCCCTGAGGGCCCCCCAACACCGACCGGACGGCACGATGAGAGGATGTAAATTGGACTATAATCACAATTTGACAGATAGAGAGTGGGGCTCTGTCCCCGGAACTTGCAGAAGCCCTATGCATTTTTCAGCATAGTAACCCCTCATCGCAGTTGCCGGGATTCGAACCCGAGACCTAACCCTTGTGGCACTCTCTCGCTACCAGTTGAGCTACGCCCACCGGTCTCAATAAGGTTTAAGGGTGGACAGGTCCGGTTCCAGCGCCTCCCCTCCCCCAGGAATGGTACCAGCTTAGGTCCAGTACTTATTCATATTAATCAAAGGGAAAATCGCAATTTCAGTCCCCCAATTAGCCACCATATTGAAATACCGGACCCGTGTTCTCGCTTTTTTAAATGTGACCCCTGATTTGTCATAATTGTTTTAAATGTCACTCCTGCCGTTAAAAATCTTACGAATTCCGTGCGGCTTTCCATTTTTCAGGGGTAAACATGTAACTTTGCATCCTTATACTTTTAAATCCCTAAATCGAGTTATCGTCAACCCTTTATCATGCTTATCAATCCAAATGGAAATGTTTTGCTTAATCCTTTGCTCTGAACACTTTTCCGCCAACTTTCCGTTGGACATGACGTTCGAACATTGAAACTATATTGAAGTCAAGATTTTCGCTTGAAGGTCGAAGCTTAAGACGAAAAACCCTAAATCTTATGACAATGGTGGCACCTCTTGAAAATTCCAAACGGCTAAAGAACGGGCGAAGGGAAGAGAGCTCCTAAGAAAATGACATGTACATCAATCGAATTATACAAAGAAAGTTTGGTTTATACTCGATTTAGGGATTTAAATGTATAACGATGCGAAGTTACATGTTTACCCCTAAAAAATGGAAAGTCAAACGGAGTTTGTAGGATTTTTAACGGCAGGGGTGACATTTAAAGCAACCCTGACAAATCTGGGATTTCAATATGGTGTCTAATTGGGGGACCAGAACTACGATTTTCCCTTAATCAAATGTTGCTTACGGTAGTACATGATCAACGAGTCAGGCAAAGACGCCAGTCCAGATGGTATAAGGTACTCCGTAACTCTTATTTGGACTTCAGTATGGGCATAGATTCTCTAATATATATATATATATATAAATATATATATATATATATATATATATATATATATATATATATATAGGAAAATGTTCATGTAAGGTAGGCCTAAAACTTGCAATTTTAGGCCTCTTTCATTTCAAGTGCTTCCAGTTCGAAGTTGTTGATGAAATTTTTTGAGCTTGTTATTCATGAAGTGTAGATTATGTCTACCAAATTTCACTTTAAAATTCAATCTGGAAGTCAGTTAAATAATTTTTTGAAAATTGTGCAGTTATAAATATATATATATATATATATATATATTGCAGTTTTTTCAATGATTTATTTAACTGACTTCCCTTTTGAATTTTAATCTGAAATTTGGTGGACATAACATACACTTCATGGAGAACATACTCATATGGATGTATAGGAAGCTCCCTATGGACAAAGACATCATAGGCCCTTCCCGGTGGAATTCTTTGATGAAACTTTTTGAGCATGTTCTACATCAAGTCTAGTTTATGCATACAAAATTTCAGCTCAAAACTCCACCGGGAAGGCAGTTAAATAAATTATTGAAAAAAAACTGCACTTTTATATGTATACTTTGGCACAGTTTTTTTCAATAATCTGTTTTAATGCATTCTCGATAGAGTTTTGAGCTGAAGTTTGGTATGCATTAACTAGACTTGATGAAGAACATGCTCAAAAATTTTCATAAAAAATTCCACCGGGAAGGACCTCTGATGGCTTTGTCCATACGAAGCTTCCTATACATCCATATGTATATGAATTGTCCTCTACATATATATATATATATAGAGAGAGAGAGAGAGAGAGTAGCGATCCTGTCACGCCGGCCTGACGGGAACCGCCGTCAGGCCGAGGCCTTTTGGGGCCAACCCGGTAGAATTTTTTGATGAATTTTTTTGAGCATGTTCCTCGTCAAGTCTAGTTTGTTCATATCAAATTTCAGCTAAAAAATTAATCGGGAAGGCAGTTGAATAAATTCTCTACCAAAACTGCGGTGTTTATGTATATAAAAAGTGCAGTTTTTGTAGAGAATTTATTTGACTGCCTTCCCTATTGAATTTTTAGCTTAAATTTGATATGGATAAACTAGACTTGATGAGGAACATGCTCAAAAAAATTCATCAAAAAATTCCACCGAGAAGGGCCTCTCATGGCCTCGGCCGGACGGCGAATCCTATCAGGCTGGCCTGACAGGATCACTACTCTGTGTGTGTGTGTGTATATTCATTTCAGGGGGTTTAGTGATCTCGTGGAGAGGTAAGAGAGCGCCTTGCACACCACGATGCTGCTATTGATTCAAAATAATGAAATATGTTAGTCTTGATAGCTATATGCATACTATGTAATCACATATGAGTGCAGTGGTAAATCCAGAAATTGAAATTAGGATGGACAGAAAAGAATCGTAAAGTTTGTTTACATTATCTCAATGAGTGACGCGAAAAAATTATATAAAGTTCAGATTTTGTTTTTATCATATAGCATTTGGTTGTGCAGCATTCTAATTTCCTAGTTCTTCTTTAGGAAGGTCTTCTTACCTAAAAAGTTCAACACTAAATCTCGATAAACTATTCAGTACTAAATATAATGCCACAAAGAGGCATATGGCATCTGGGAAGCCTGATCATTGGATTAATAAAACAAACAATATAAAATCAACAACTTACCAGGTAAGTGCACAGACTTCAAACAAGATTGCAAGTATAGTTAGAATTTTGCTGTGGATCTGAAAATGAATTTAGAATCAGTAAAAATGAAAAAGCTTTACATAAACAAAGGTTGTGCATTAAAACTGGAAAGAGGAATGAAGTGAAAACCATCGGTTTGCAGTACTATTATAAGATATCAACAGGGAGAGAAGTAGTAGCTACTAATCAACTCATGTGCTCAAAAAATGTAAAAGATTTACAGAAAAATTTCCTAAACTGACTCACATTACGAATTTCATCAGTGCCTAATCATGTAAGGATCCATTTTGAAAGGAGGGATTTTTTTCCCTGAAATTGATTTCGGGGAAAACGACTGGTTTTTTATGAAATCGTTTTCATTTTCCAGTGCTCCGCTGAAAGTTGTAACTTTTGTTTACAGAAATAAATATGTCACATAGTTATTCATTATTAAAGCTGGTGTTGCATCATACTTACCCAAAGTGCACATATAAGGGCCAAGGCAACACACCCTATATAAACTGCTGTTGCATAGACACGAGCAGGATCAAACATCATTTTTATTTGGTTCCCAGGTCCAATCAGAAATGCTGTGCTGCATTTAGATATTGAACATTCAGAGCATGAGGAGAAACAAAAAAGAGACATATGCATATGAATTTAACATGGTAATTTGATTGAGGTTTGTTTACTTGTTTGTTTGGCACCTGTGGTTTGGGGGGGTAAGGGCTAGAGTTATGTGTCTCACTTTTGATGCTTACCAGATCAGTAACTAAACATATAATTATGAGTAAACCTTGTCTTTTGAGAATCCTTTTACAGGCGAGTTAGGCTGATTTTACATCTGCATGCAAGTACACTATTGCATGAATTAAAGCTTATAAAACATTCGAGGTTGTGATGTCAAATGTTATTCTACCTCCGTCCTTTAAAACTTTGCCATCTTTGACTTTTCAAGTCAATGGTGGTAAAGTTTGAAACATGATTTTGATTAGTATAAAATTATGGAAGTTATAATTTTTATGTTTTTATGAAAGTACTTTTAACAGAGAACATTTCCATATCATTCTATATCATAAATAATTTCCTATAAAAATATATAGTTGGTCAAAGTTGACCAAAAAAATCAAAGATGGCAAAGTTTTAAGGGACGGAAAGAGTAATGTTTGATTCCTAATAGTGTTCCACTGCTCCTTTATTGTATTATGCCCTACCAGATGTTGTTAAAGTATATTAATAACCGTAGGGTCTGGCTTGTGGCAGATGGCCCCTTATGTTCATATCTAAGCATCATTAATCTTTAGAAAAGATCAAGCTGCAAGTTAAAGAGCTTATCATAAAGTAATTAAACATGGTACCACATAGTCTATACCTAAAAGTGAGTTGATTTTTTTTTTTGGAAATTTGAAGTTAAGTACCTTGATTGATTAGATACGACAGGGGCATTCTTTTTTAGAGGTTGGGTGCCTAGGAAGGGACACCTAGAGGCTAGAACGCTAGGTGACAGTGACCTAGCAATTCCTACAACATTGGAAAGGCAATTACCTTAATACTATCTACATTTGAATCTATATTGACATAGTGAGGTGACTCGGTTGAAGAGGTCAGTACAGTCCAAGATATCTTCGGAAGAGATATGTCTCTTCAATTATCAATTACTACTTCTAAAATGTCAACCGCTGATTACTAATTCAAATGTACCAATATACTCCACCAGTATTGTACCCACACAATGACAGTGTAAAATCCATTGCTCATAGAAAAATATTTCAAGAAAGTATTTAATGTGAGAAATATTCCAAGTGATGATGTATCTAGTATCTCCAAACTTCTAAATAGTCTTGCTTGAAAGCTGCACTTAATGGCAATACCTATTACCTGATTGATTATTTGGCAGTTGCACATGTGAGATAAAGTTTATTTTTTTATAATAACAAATGTAATATTTTTTGAGACGTTAGGTTCCAAGATTTAAGTGAATCTACAGAGAGACTTTGGGTTAGAAGTGCGTCCGGTTATTTCAATTTGCATATCAAGTATAAACAAGTAAAATAACAGCTAATTCTATCGAAATTCATTCAGTTGCTGTTTTCCAAATAGTTCCTCTCTCATTTCGTATGAATTCCCCACCCACAGGTCAGAGCAAAAACACCCTATGCGAAATAGCTGAGTAGCTATGGCTATAATACATTGTAAAATAGGTTATTTTACTGGTAAAAGCAATTTTGACTACCATGAATGGGACATTCATTCAACAGCACTTCAAATGGTTACGCTTTGAATGCTTACTTGCTTCTACAGAAAATATGATAATCTCAAGTTAGATTTCCTTTGTGGTACACAGGTTAACCTACCTTCCAACCGCCAAGAGATTGCCAAATGTGAACAAAATAGCAAACTTGATGGGCTTTGCAAAAACAATAACCGACTGAAAAGAAAAAAAGAATAAAATGCAATAAGCAATCAAAAGAAATAATTTTCAATTTGGTAAAAAACCAAGGAGCATTTCTTTCTCTAAACTGAAAACGGGAAACCAAGAAGTAAGAACCTGTAAGAACCAGTTCCTTATCTAACACGTAAGAAGCCACTGAAACTCAGTAGGGCTCACATTTCGCCGTTTCAGTAACATAGCTTAAACTCTGAATCTTCAAATTTCCGTTTAGGTTCCATTTTCATAGTTCTAAAATAATAATAATGATAATAGCACAAATATGACTTGTACAACTTGTGATCATAAAAATATGACTAGTTTTTTCCGAAAAGTGACCGAATAACTTCAAAATCCTAAATATATTCAATTTTTCTCTTTCCAGCCCCCACCTGCCATTTGGGTCTTCATATAAATGGGATTTTATAGGATTTTTATAATGGGATTTTTAAATGGCATTTTATAAAGCAAAATAGCGTTTGTGACATTTCATATTCATAGGTTGATTGAAATTTATTGCATTTTAAGTCTGGTTACGTAGTAATATTTGATTCATATATGACATCTATATAGCAACTTTTGAGTACCTCTATATAGCAAAGTATAGAGAGTATTTTGGGAAAAAATCCATTTCCAGATTCACGTTTCCCTTTTGCATTTCCGTACTTGGTGTAACACAGTTTCAGTTTTTAGGACAACAACCAAAATATGTAATGGGGGAATTACCAAGAACATACAAACTATGCCAGCGACCATACAAGCAGCGAAGCCATAGACTCTCTGCACAATCAAAACCCAGAGAGCAGAATGAGAAACGCATTTGGGGCTATCCAGTAACCAGTAAGGACTGAAACTCTGATCATGAAATAGAGGGTTTTCCACTACGGATTAAATCTTGGAGCAGAATTGGGGAACCTGAAAGCTCAAATGTTAAACGGGAAAAGCTACCTGAAGATGAGATATAGCGCAGAGGCCTTCTTGATCGTCCAAAAGGTCGTCTTGCACCTCATCTCCTCCAATGATAGATTTCCACATTGATGTTGTCTTTCACGGATTCGTAGATCCTCGGTATGGGTTCGGATTATAAACCAGCCTCCGTCTTCTATGTTCAAACAACTGATTACCTTCTTCGAATTGGGATCAGTGGATCACTCCCTCATGAAGTCCTTCTCCTTTGTCTGTAGAGTCCCTGCAGCCGTTTGAGTGTTTGACATTTTAGTAAATCACGTGAAAATCTCTTTCTTTGTTAAAGGAGCATTTATGCACTTTTTAGCTACCATCCGAGGGGTGTTTGGATGTTGATTCTTAAAACTCCTCCAGCAGCGGAAACAGAAGCTGAAGTGTTTGACTAAAAATGCAAAAGTGATTCTGATGCTAAAATTTGCTTCTGGAATCAGTTTTTTTAGAAGTTGGGGGTGACCAGCTTCTGAAAACTGATTCTGGTTCTACTTTAAAAAAGAAGTAGAAGCAGAATTAGTTCCAAACACCCCTCTGACAATACATTGAATATTAGGAGTTCATATTGAACATCCTCATTTCTGATTTATAGGAATATTTTGTACTACGTAATTCATCTTTTTTCTTATTTTTTTATTTTATAAAAACTTATTAAATTATATCTAAAATCAAGTCCTATGAAATTTAATGTGAGAATCTAATGCAATATGATACTTTTGAAATATGCAACTTTTTAAAATGAGCATAAAATCGACCCCAACTGAGCGTACGCAATTTACAAAATAAGTATAATAGAATTCAAAAACTCATTTGTTTATCCTCATTCATTTTAAGTGTTATACCCATTTGAGTTTAACATAAAACTCTTTTTTAATGTGATCAATATTCATTTGTCTATGTTCATTCCTTTTAATCTATACTCATTTGAGTTTAATATAAAACTCATATGAGATCAATAGGATTCCTAGCAACAAAGTGGACTCCCATTGTCTCCAAAAATCACAAGCTCAATCGACAACATCTTGAGCTCAATCAGACGGAATGCTGAAATCATGCCCAAATATTTAAGCCGAATATAAATCATGGGAAGTTTTCTCATTACACCAGTTGGAAGAAAGCCCCGAGCACGCTTTATAAAAGGTGAACATAGACGTCGTAGTTAATGAGCCATGTGTATTAGGGTGTGGAGTTGGGTTGCCTGTATTGATCATAGACAATTTATAACAGCCTTCATTGCATCCAAACATGGTGATTGGAGTCCAGCTGAAGCCAAGGCTATGGGAGTTCGAGTTGCCGTCAGTGTAGCTATTCGGGGAAGGTTGTGATTTTGTGAATGGGTTGAGTTCGAGTCACATGTGTTAACGGTGGTGCAAGGAGTACCAAAGGTGAACAAACTCTTTTTTATTCTGATCTGTTGCTCGAGGATATACGAGGCATATTGAGAGCAAAAAGTAATTTCAATCTATCTTTTTGCAAGCGGTTTGCGAACCGAGTTGCCCATGAATTAGCTAGGCAAGACGTGTTATTAACATGTCAGGAAATTAAAGTACTTTTGATGTTATTCTCGACTATATTGTAAGTCGGGTGGCTACTGATTTGATTAATTAATTATATGATTTCTGTTGCAAAAAATTGTAGTACTATGTACTTACGTACTACTTCCTCCGTCGCACTAACATTGAGACATTAGTGTGTAATGAGGTTATTAGTATGATCGCCCAAAATATAAAGATGAAACAATCTCAACGGGATAAAAGGAGTATTAAAGAATTATATTTCTGTTTTATAAGGTATAAAATTATCTTAAAATGATAAAAGAAAAAAACACATTTAAATAGTAATAACTGATAAGAATTTTAAGGGTATTGCGGTCAAGCATTCCAGCCCAGCTGGTTGTGAGGTTACCGTGCCTAGTGAGAGGTCTCGAGTTCGAAACCTGCTACACACATAAGGGTTCGAAACTCAATGAAGTGAGTTTCAGCCCTGATTACTCCAGACCCCTCCCCCAGACCCCCCGGAGTTAAAAAAACAAGAGTATTGCAAGAGAAATGACACTATAAAAGACATTTTCTTTTGCATAATGACTTACAACTTTACTAGTAGCACACTAATCTTCGTCAATAAAATTCAATGTAGTGGACATGTCAAACTTAATCAGCATATATCCGACCACACAAGTATGATTTAAAATTTTACAATATTTGATAGTAAATCTTAGATAATGATTTTGAATGGCATGTAATGGAGTATATGACCCAAGACCCTCGATTCACACTCCTTTCACCTCAATAGGCCTTACAAATCATAGTTGCCAAAAAACAACAATTGGATACCCCTCGACCCCAAGCTCGAGGGCTTTGAACAACAACATCTCGCAGAAAGGCCACCTCACGTGTGCAAGCCAAATCATCCTCGTCTCAGGGGTAAGCTCCCGAGAAATAGCCCTCGGGTCCCGATGGAGAAGCCCTCGGCCTCGGCACAGAAAGCCTTCGACATTGTGCTTCACTGCGCTCAACCATTGCCTTTAGTGTTGCACCACGTGCCCACATACGTGCCATATCGGTGCTCTCCGCCATAAACTAGCTTACACGTGTAAGTGCATTTAATGCACATAGCATTTATGGCTAGTATACATAGCATCCCCATGGACAGTTGTAACACTTCGAAAATCATTAATAAGATTGTTCTTTCTCCTCTACTTAATAGCTTTGCCTTCTCTCTACATAACACTACGATGTTTCGCTATCTATCATTTGGTGTTATTGTTGAGAGGCTAAAACAATCGAGTGAGAACCCTCCCTCGTAAGAACAACAACACGCCGACACGCCTTCTGACAATGGGAAGACCCAGAGGTAGTTCAAAATCCCTCGAGGATGCCTGCCAGATCCTCGAAGGGGTGAATGATGCCACGACCGCGTCCAAGAAGGATGCTGACGCCGCCATCTTCACTGAAATGGAGTAGGTAGTTGCCGACCTACACACTCATCATCTTCAGAAAACGCCCCTGACGCCCGCATCAAACTCGCGAAAATGAAGGAGCCAAGGGAACAATAGACCCTCCCAACCTCAGTCTTATACGGAGTATTATTATACTCAACAATGTAAGTGTATTTATATGATACATTTTTTTAGTACATGAGTTTAAGTGACGATTTGAAAATAATAGAAGAATTCATTTGCTCATTTTCCAAGTCTTTACTCTGATTTTGTATTAACTTTTTGGTCAAAATCGGAAAATCCTTATAAATGGTGAGATTGGCTATTACTCTTTCTTTGGATTTATTTATATTCAAATGTTTGTTTAGAAAAATATAACTATTCTTTTTTTTTTAAACAAAAAAATATAACTATATTAAAGTATTAAACTACGTAGTATTGTCATTAGAAGCATCATACTTCAAAAATTCCCTAAAACCTCTGTACTGGGCAACTTTGGGAGAAGGGAGTGAGAACTGAGAGGGAGACGCCCAGCTAGAAGCCCCCATACTTCTGCTTGTCTTCAGGCTCGCTACCAGAAAGAAGAGGTTAAAGCCGGAGGTTAGGAATGTCATCGACGCTACTTGAGGTTACGCGTGCGTCGCATGAGGAGGTAGAGCGATTCGAGCGGCTAATCGTGAAGGATCTCCAGAACGAGCCGGCGACCAACAAGGACCGCCTACACCAGAGCCACCGCGTTCGCAATGTTATTGATCAAATCATTGAGACCACGCACAAACTCGTAGTTTCCATTTACACTTTCAGCTCAAATTTTCTATTTGCTTATTTAGGTTACACATTATATCTGTTAAGCTAAATCAGCTAATCCTCTTTTCTGTTGCGGAACAGGTTGATATTTACGAAGACAAAGATGGTGCTCGGAAGGATGAGATTGCAGCCCTGGGAGGACAGGCGGATTCTGTGTCTACTGTGTTCAGTGCTTTTTATGACAGATTAAAGGAGGTAAACGTCAAGGTTATTGTACTTCTAAGTTTGTATAGTTTTACTCCATGGGTATTAATGAAAACAGGTATTATTACAATTTGTTCAAGTCAAGAGTGTATCATGAGCATAGTATTGCTTAAAGGTGATTAAATTGTTACATAATTAGGACTAAAACATATATCATATTCTCAAATAGGATTGCTATCGTTTTATTCCTGAAATCCGGGTCACCCACCCTTAGAAGAACCATTCTTGATTTTGAGGTTTCATTACTTTGAGAAAACAATGATAGTCCTATATTTAAGCACTCGGTATATCTTTTAGTCCTATCTTGTGCAGTTTATAGTGAAAAAACTTGTGCGTCTAACCTAATGACCTATGCATATGTTGTCCGATGTTTAGATACGTGAATACCATAGACGGCATCCTTCTGCACGTGTTGTTGATACCAGTGATGAGTATGAACATCTTCTCAAGGAGGAGCCACAAGTGGAGTTTAGCGGGGAAGTGAGTGTTCCTCTTTCTTCTATATGTGCAAGTATTTTTACATGCATACACATTTTGGTGACTTGTTGTAGCACTTTAGTGCCTATAATATGTAGAGTACTACTTCTGAATCCTGTTATTGAAGTATTTGACCATATGTTGTTTAGAAAAAGAAATAATGATCATATCACCATGTTATGATAAAACTTAGTAGTTTAAACGTAGGAGCAACTGCTTTGTTTAGGGAGTGTAGTTTTCTACTTGGGAAAAAATATTTGTTCACAGGAAATAACAATGCTTTGCTATGTCTTTGCTGAATTTTCTGTTTGAGATGTAGTTATTGCTTTTAGCATACCCTATGCAAGCACCAAAGAGAGGGACTAATTTGTTGATGTGAGAAATTATGAATGTGGTGTTATAATTGGAGAAAGCTTTGAATTTGGATCAACACTTTTCCTTGAATTTATGATTTCCCTATTCATAGCCTTATAGTTTATTATTTCACTATCGGCGATGAGTCCACATACTATATGGTTCCAAAATTCTCAACCGATGTACAATGAGTGTACTTTTTCCATCAAATTCCACATATTTATCGGTTTGTGCATTTGAGGATCTGTTATGGTGCTCTATTATCATGTAGTCTGCATGTTTAGCTTTAATAGTTCAGTAGAAATTTATAGTAGTTCTGTTCCATCTTTCGTTGGCCTGGTTAACTTGTATTCCGATGTAGGAGGGATCTGGGAGATACCTCGATTTGCACGAGCTGTATGGTGAATATATTAACTCCAAATTTGGTGAGCCGATTGAATATACTGCGTATCTTGAAGTCTTCTCCAAACCTCAACTAATTTCTCGTAAGCTGAAGTCAACAAGGTAAACTCCC